TTTGTGTTTAGTTTCATGATCCAAATATTCCATCTGCCGATATTCGTAAGGATATTCTTTTAACCGAGGATTAAGATTTGTAAATTTTAAGTTGACCATATTGGTCCTTTTTTATAATAAAGTACTCAGTTTCTCACGGTTAAAAATACGCTGAAAGTTATGTTTCGCAGGAAATGCCTAATTATCTTTAGGTCAGACAAACTTCCAACTTGACTTACACTAAATTCTTCTTGCGATTTTAACCCTAACGTTTTCATACTAAAAACGTCAATTGCAGAACTTGTTTTAATTCATAGCGTTGGTGGAAAGCTAATACATTTGATGAAAACATCACTATAACAGGAATATTACTTTCTTGTTACTCTTTATCACAGCATACTGACCTTTCGGATGTTTATTTAACTTTGGAAAGTTTGTTTCTTTGTAATTAAGCACAAATCTACACAATGGGCTATCTGTGCTCTGCCCACCACCGAAACTTGTTTTCTAGCGTTGTAAGTCCGCAGACATACTGCTGTGCCACTGAGAGGGGCAACTTTGGAAAGCTATCTATTGTTTTTGTACTTTGTAGCATTTACAGTGACCAAGTTTAATTATTAATCAGTTACTAATATTATTTTTAATTGCTAGATACTAATGACTAACTAGATGACTCATTAGTATTATGATCTTATATTAATAGAAATATGATCAATAATACTAAAATAGTTGAAGCAACTAAGTATGGTAAAATGAGAATTCTATATAATTGTTCGGAAGCAAAGAAAGTGAGACATAGTGAAACAAAAAATGAACTATATCTCCGAAAAAAAACAATGACTTTTTTTTTCCATTTTGCTCAATGGTTTAATTACTAGCTTTCTTCGGGAGCATAGGGCTTGTGTTTTAAGTAAGAGATATACACTTGCCTTGCTGCATAACTAACTATTTCTAGAGTTCTTCGTATGACAAGAGACCCAGGATTGTGCTTATGTAGTAATGTAAGGTAACAGACCGTAGAGGAATTCTGCTGTTTACTTTCTTGTAGATTATATTTTTCTGAAATGTTTGTTGCCCCACTATCTCACTCAGTGACTCAGCGGCGAGTCTGAAGGAATATAATGTTCAAATCTCAAAGAAATTCAATATGTAAAATATCATCACTATCTGTATTCGTTTTTTTTTTTAGAGTGTCCTATTCGTATATTGTAGAATGTTTATCTCTTATGATAAAAATTATAGAATTTTTGGGGATTACGGCACAGTTTTATGTTTGCTAAAGTACGCATTTTCGGCTCCTTAGCCAGGATTACTTACAGGTACATTGTATTTATTGACTGTTCCTCAGAGATTGTTTGTAATACTGTTATTTAGAGACACAGTAAACAAAGAGAGAGTCCCCCAGTAGCACAGCGGTATGTCTGCGGACTTACAACGCTAGAATTCAGGTTTCGATACCCGTGATTGTTACAGCAAAGATAGCCCATTGTGTAGCTTTGTGCTGAATAAATAAACAAACTGAAATGTTTGTCAGCGTTCGTATTTCCTACATTTGTCAATCAAAGAAACAACCTTTAACTACAAATGAAAATTATATCTAAATTTTATTTTCATTTTGAGATGAAGATAATTTGTTTACAAAATACCTAATGTTCTCCAGTTTGAATAAGCAGGTTAATCACAATCAGTTGCTAAGGCTTAGCTTATGTTTGTTTGTTTGTATTGAATTTCGCGCAAAGCTACACGAGGGCTATCTGCGCTAGCCGTCCCTAATTTAGCAGTGAAAGACTAGAGGGAAGGCAGCTAGTCATCACCACCCACCGCCAACTCTTTGGCTACTCTTTTACCAACGAATAGCCGTCATATTATAACGCCCCCACGTCTGAAAGGGCAAGCATGTTTAGTGTGACGGGGATTCGAACCCGCGACCCTCAGATTGCGAGTCGAGCGCCCTAACCACCTGGCCATGTCAGGCCTAGCTTATTTTTGAAAACTCTACACACATTCTTATATAACTACTATGTCTAACTAAGAGTTAGCCAAAGGAGGTTAATCACAATCATTTGCTAAGGCTTAACTTATGTTTGAAAACTGTACACGCATTCTTATGTAACTACTATATATAACTAAGAGTTAGTTAGTCAATAACGTTGCGTTTGTTCTATTTCCTATAGCTACATTTTCCAGTATTAAAACTGTAAAAATAAAATACTATTATAGCTAAACAGGTAGTTGAACGTTTCTAATTAGAGACTTGCATATTTATATTAACATGGCGGCCAATACTATTGCAACAACATCTTAACTGGAGCTTTTTTATTGGAGCTTTTAATTCCAATTTGGTAATGGTTAACAATCGGTTTATTATTTTGCACTTTTTGTTGCGCTGTTATAATTGTTCAACCTCTATTAGAATGCTTGTCGCGCACTTTTGATATCAAATAATTTAACTTCTCTTAATTATAGGGACCTGCTAGATGTACCTGAGCAGGGTCCCCCGAAAGTATTTTCTTTGAAGGGTAACACGTGTTTTTATTTCTTGCTTTAGAAGTTCATATGTCATGCTGTGTTGTAGCCTATAGAGTGCATAATTTTCCTCGTGATTCATGGCATGCGCACGTTTTACTGACGTCACGACAGTACAGATTGCAACGTTAAGTGTCCCTTACGTGACGTCATTTTAATGTCTATTGACTGAATGACAGAGAACACACTGCTGTATGGTGGTGCGAGTGGTTAAAACAGGGAAAAGGTAAGCATTTTTTTATGTTAATCCGTTACAGCCGCCAAGACAAGAACATTGGAATGGGAAGATTGTTGGGTATTACATTGGCTATAGACCTGCTGAAGAAACGATGTACTCGTACAAATCATTCAACGTCAAAGATGTAGCAGAACAGGAACAGTTTCACGTGACAAACCTTCGGAGATCAACCATCTACTACATCACCATCCATGCTTTTAACAGCAAAGGATTAGGTCCAAAATCTGACGAAATAGAAGTAAAGACTCTGGATGATGGTATTTATATAACATCGGATTATATCATCTCAGTGTTATTAAAATTCTAGAAATATATATATATATATATATATTCTACAAGACTTGTTATTGTCTTAAGTATTTTTAATGGACATTTGAGAAAGACGTTTCCTTATATAAATTGCTACTTACTGATGTAGATGTTCTTTTTTTAATATTAATATTTTGAACTCTTAACTTGATAAAATTGTCTAGAACAAGTCTCATTGGGCTGTTGTTTAGGGCATTTAGAAATGTATCAAAACTTTCCAGTTCACACCTGTACTCTTAGTTTTTCCCATATAGTTAAACTGGTTACAAACCCACCTTTTCTTGCTAGAAAGTAAGATCGACTGGTTAAGGGAAACCCATAAAACGAGGGAACTAATTACTGTGTGAATTATGAAACCCCAGAATTGATCTCATCTGTAAACTTTCGCATCTTATCACACATTGTTTCAAAAGTAACACTTTATTAATTTCTGGCATCATCGTTCCATTTAAAATGCCGATTCTTAAGATCAAATGTTAATCAGAAAAAAATAATTTCAGTTTTGTGCCCCTACAGTGGATAAAACTATCGTCCAATAGAAAACACACACAAAAAAAGGAATTCAGTATTTTCAAGTGACTCTTTCAGTTCCACCAGCTGACTTTGTATTCTGGTTTTGCTGGTTTTTTTTATCAACTGCAGTTGGAGTCTTCTGATACATTTGCAAACAAAAATTATTCAACAACCAGATGAACTATGTGCTTGATAAATCTTATTGAGATTCCAGTTGTATTTCTGTTGTGAATTATACCTTCCCATATAATAACGATAACCACAAAACAATAATTTATTTAAAGAAGTATTTATTAATTAATTGATAATGATTATGAGCTTAAAGTATTTTATCCTATGATATCTAACATTTCTTAAAAACGATCCAAAGTGTTCCACTTTTTACTTTTGAAGTGGAACGCACCTGTTAACACCTCCAAAACGTATTTGCAAGCAACTTATCTAATTACTTGTAAATTGTAAATGAAATTACAAACAAACATGACTTTCATTAAGAAAAGAACCTCTATTTCGTTCTGTAATTTCAAGTATGAAACCATTGAAGATGGATTACCAAGAGAAATTTAGAATGATGTAAAGAAACTGTTACTCAGAACAAAAATACACTTAGTATTATCAGGTTGGAAACGCAAATACACTTGGTATTATCAGGTTGGAAACACAAATACACTTGGTATTATCAGGTTGAGAACACAAATACACTTGGTATTATCAGGTTGGAAACACAAATACACTTGGTATTATCAGGTTGGAAACACAAATACACTTGGTATTATCAGGTTGAGAACACAAATACACTTGGTATTATCAGGTTGGAAACACAAATACACTTGGTATTATCAGGTTGGAAACACAAATACACTTGGTATTATCAGGTTGAGAACACAAATACACTTGGTATTATCAGGCTGGAAACACAAATACACTTGGTATTATCAGGCTGAGAACACAATACACTTGGTATTATCAGGCTGAGAACACAAGTACACTTGGTATTATCAGGTTGAGAACACAAGTAAACTTGGTATTATCATGTTTGAGAACACAAGTACACTT